GAAGCTTGAAAACGTTTTCCAATGCAGCAGTGAAGAGTTTCGGGGACATAACGTCACCCTGTCTTACACCTCTCTGCAGTTGGATAGGTTTCGTACTCTGGTTCTGTACTCGGATAGCTATCGTAGCCCTACTGTACAAGCACTACAGCACTTCGATATACCGACAGTCAACTTGGCACCGCTGAAGCGACTGCAGCACCGCCCTAATTTCGACGGAATCAAAGGCTTTCTCATAGTCCACATACGCCAGGCATAGTGGCAAATTGTACTCCTCGGATTTCTGTACAACTTGCCGAAGGGTATGTATGTGGTCTATGGTGCTAAAGCCCTTTCGGAAACCGGCTTGTTCGGGAGGCTGGAAGTCGTCAATTCTGCGCGCGAGACGATTCGTAATGACTCTCGAAAACAGCACGTAGACGCGGCTCAGAAGGGAAATCGGTCTGTAGTTCTTCAAGAGAGCGTTGTCACCTTTCTTGAAGAACAAGACCACCGCACTTCTGCTCCACGCCTCCGGTGTAATGCCACCATGGAGGACGGAATTAAAGAGCTTCTGAAGGACTTCAAGTACCGGTCTTCCACCCGCTTTCAGAAGCTCCGCTGTAACTCCATCCTCGCCTGAGGCCTTGCCGTTTTTAAGATGCTGGAGAGCCATTCTAATCTCGCTCAGACTTTTATAAACCAGTGTCATAATAATACCGCAAGCATAAACTTACTTAACTTAGCTAGAGCCACGTTGCAGACTGCGTTATGTTTGTAGCTCGAAGATCGGCTCTTTTACTGGAAACTACGCATTCCATATTAGCTCTCAGGAGTGACAACGCATCTGCATTTTGATTTTTAATCGAAGTCAGATGTAGACGTCTATGTGCTACAGCATCGACTTACCATTAGGTGGATTATGTGTTTGTTTGTCACCCTTATTCTTTAAAAAAATCTGTATGCTAAGCAGTGCGTACGCACTACGCATCGCTCCGAGCAATAGTGTCAATTCGCCTGTTTCCCGTGTCGTTACCGCGCCCAACACTCTCCTGGATACAAGTCCTGAGTTCGACCTATTTCCGCAATAATAGACGGTAATATTCTCAGAATGACTTAAGTTCTTTAAAGGAAATTAATGAATATGTATAGCCTTAAATTTATTTAATTCTTACTTATAACCGTTTTAATTGAAGTAAAAATTAATTAAAAAATTAACGCACGTTGCATTCATCGCATTGTTCGACCATACCAAAGAGTAGTAAAAACCTGGGTACGAAGGAGTGCTATATATTATAATTTACCCAATATTTACTCTGACAGTATGTCACATACCTTTAAATTTAGAATTACCCATGAATAAAATTATAATTTTTACTTAATTTCAGATACGGTAATTCTTTAACAAATTTAACTTCGAACAGTGCTCAGTGAGTTTGCCTAACAAAGTAGAATGCGACGTGTAATTAAGTGTGTAGGTACGGCAGTCAAATAACGCGGAACGTAAATCCTAAACAACCTAGTTGCGACTGACAGACAACATTGTTGGTCTGTGTTATAGGCTTATGGAGTTTTTTTTTTTTAATTTTCGAGTGTCAAACGAAGTGACATTAATTATCATTGATAAGACTAAAATGAAATGCCTCATAGTTGTAATTACACTGGTTCCAAACTAAATCAGAACAGAGCAGTAAACATGCTTCAGTTTCGCGATAAAAATTTGTAGTAATAATAGTAATAATAAGCTCGAGCCATGCGCCGAGCCCGATACGCTATCCCTCGAGTTTCTTCCCCTTTCGCCCTAAAGTACGCCCGCAATGCGTTTTTGTCCACCTTGTTTGTTCAACAGCGGCGGGTGCCGCTTGCCGCGTCTGGGAGGACCCTGCCGACACCAAGCCATCTGGTGGGGATGATGGATGTGAGGGGCTACTAGGTGGTCGTGCAGCACCTCGCAGCTGGCGGCCCGCATGCTGTCGCGTCCAGCGCTAGCTCCAGACGCGCCCTGGCAACCCCCAGGCAGCGGCCCTATGCGCGTTTCTTTTTGTGCCATCATCCATTTTATGGGCGTCAGTTAACGGGAGACGCCCAGACCCAGTGCCGTTTCATGATGGGGCCATATACCATACAATATAGGCACAAACGGGCCTTTACACCCTAAATTTTGCTGAGGCATGGCGCTAACACCGCTTGGCACGGCGCTGACTGACTGCACCGACGTAGCAGCTTTATCACGTCAGCGGGCGATGGGGTCGTCACTTCCCTACGCCTATACTTCCTCGGGCAGTGTGTGGGGCAGTGGAGTACGACATAAGGATAAAAAGGGGTATCTTCCAGGGCGATTGTTTGAGTCCAATCTGCTTCTGCCTCTCTCTGAACCCTCTCAGCACCTTACTGGAGGGTTTCAGGAGGGGATTTCAGTTTCGGAAAGGAGGTACAAAAGTGACCCACATTTTCTATATGGATGATCTTAAGTTATTCGCTTCCAGTCGCTCCCATCTTATGGAATTGTTAAACAACACTTGTGATTTTGGCAATTCTATTAGAATGGACCTGGGGACGGATAAGTGTGCGGTCCTTCATGTCGAAAGAGGAAGGGTTGCTAACTCTGAGGGCATAGACTTATCTATTCCTATTAGCATCAGGACCGATGGCTTCCGAGGCTGAAACATACTGATACCTGGGTATGTCACAGAACATCGGTATCGATGAGGGAGGTATGAAGCAGTTAGTTTGCGATGTGTTTTGTGCACGCTTGATCAAAGTGCTTAACAGCCTTTTGTCCGGTGTGAATAAGACACACGCATATAACGCTTGGGTCATGCCTGTTATCATATATACATTTGACATACTTAGGTGGACTCAAACTGAACTTAATGCCCTGGATAGAAAAGTCCGCACTAATATGACGTCCTATAGGATGCATCACCCGAGATCGTCCATTATGAGGCTGTACTTGATGCGGAAACATGGTGGGTGTGGCCTTTTAATCGCGCTTACCATGCATAATCGTGAAGTGTGCAGCCTCCATAATTACTTTCTGACGAGAGCGGATGATCCATTCTAAAGGGACGTTATTTCTTGTGATAAAGGACTTACCCCTCTATCCTTAGCTAACGAGCAATGGCAAGACCCGACAGTACAGAGCATTTCCGACCGGGAGACCGTATGGAAGGAGAAGGAGCTCCATGGAAGGTTCTACAAGGCTCTACATGAGCCCTTTGTAGACACAGTTGCCTCTCTCCACTAGCTACGTTTTGGTGACCTCTTTGGGGAAACCGAGGGTTTTGTCTGTGCCATACAGGATCAGGTTATTAAGACCTACAACTATCGGAGATACATCCTAAAGAATGGCACCGTCGACATCTATTGAGCTTGTCGCCAACCCGGTGAGTCACTTAGGCATATCATCTCTGGTTGTTCAACGCTTTCTAACTCTGAGTACCGGCATAGGCACAATCTTGTAGCCAGGATTCTATACCAGGAGCTCGCTCTGAAATGCGGTCTCGTGGATCCGAAACTCCCTTACTATAAGTATATGCCGGAAGCCGTGCTCGAAAATGACCGCGCCAGGCTCTACTTCGATCGGGCCATCATCACAGACGGGACTATTCTTGCGAATAAGCCTGATATTGTGCTGATGGACCGGGCACAGTCACAGATATTTTTGGTCGACATTACCATTTCGAATAACGAGAACCTCGTGAAAGCCGAAACAGATAAGCGAACAAAATATCTGGACCTGGCTCACGAGGTGAATGACATGTGGGGTGGACTGCCGACCGAAATTATACCTGTAGTCGTTTCTGCGGACGGGTTAATCCCAGTCAGCGTCTCAGGTCATCTGAAGTGACTGGGACTCCGTGACGGATCGCTCCAGGCTCAAATGCAGACGGTGGTGCTCCTTGATACCGCCCGCACCGCCCGCCGGTTTCTTTCCCTTTCCCCCTCATCCTCAGCCGTTTTGTTTCCCCTGCCGAAGGCTTCCATCCGGTTGGGTTTTATTTATTTATGTATTATTTACTTATTTATTTATGTCTTATTTATTTATTTATGTTTATTTAATATATCCTTTAATATATTTATTCAGCCCACCCAGATGAGAATACTCTATAAATACCCCAAAATAATAATATAAATGTTTCTTTGAGTTTAGATAACAATAAAAATGTTAAACGTTACAGATTTTTCCTTCTTCATAAGTCCGTAAAACCAACATCATGGGTCTCTACCATTGTGGGGAATTTATCTTAATCACGCACGCAATAAGTCACGCTTTGTAAGTGAATTGACGACCGCAGTACCAGATGGATTAACTTTGACGCTATTAACCATCGCCGGCTGTGCTGCTATATATCAAATGTCTTTAGATTTTTCTGCCCATATTCACCTCTTACGATACCCTTGGTATGAAATGTGGTGACCATTATGTTATTTAGTTCCTTCATAAAATAGCGCTCTGGCTGTGACAACACTGCTACAGCATTGTGCTAAGTCGGATGCCTTTTCGTCGCTGCAACTCAATGTATAATATAAAAGTGGTTATCATATTTGTTGTTTTCTAATTTCTAGTAAACGTTGTGTGCAATATAGCTCAAGCATTCTAGATAGTAATGTATGTTTATGTTATATGTTTTTTCTATCGGCATATGGACGCCATAGAACGAAGTTAAATTTTATTCACTCTCTCTCTCCCGCTCCTGTGTGACCGTCACCCCCCCCCCCTCCGCGCCAGAAAGTGTCCCGAAGCGTGCTTTTTCAAGTTTTAAAGAAAACCATACACGATACATGAAAAGTGTGTATGTATGAAATGACCCTTGATAAATTAGCTATTAATTTCTTATAAATGCAAAAGCGATATCATTTATAGTTTTATTTTTTATTATTTATCTATTCAATAAATCAATTTAATAAAATAAGTCAAGTTTTAGTTTTTAAGATAGTTTGGTTAAAAAAAGCAAGGAATATTACTACTGCTTTCTAAGTAAGCAGAAATTTTGTATTTCAACTTTTATAGAAATAATTACGTAGTTCATCGCTGAATTTACGGCTACACCAAGTTGGGAGAGTTCCTCGTAAACGTAACGCTTTGAAAGCAGATTAGCGAACGCTGTATCTCCTGTTAGAGATTTCTCTCAGTATCCGAGCCGTGTACTTAGGACTTTTTATTTTCGAGACAGTTATTTACAACATACATTAGAGGCTATAATATTTGCTTACCACTTAGACAGCCGTTAAATCCACGTAACCACTACTATCAACGACCTAGGGCTATTGGAATTACTGGTTTCTTTGAACATTCGGGTTGTGTTTCGCTTTCAACAAAACAACGTAAAATAATCTGTTCATGAAATAAATAATTATAAATTTCCATTCCACACATCCTCTACAGGCTTTAAAAGTCCACTGCTGAATATAAGTCTCTCCCATAGACTGCGTTATGGGGGGGATTTTGCCATAATTGTTACGCTTGGCAAGCGTATTGGCAACCGCATTTATGAATAACTTGAGTTGGTATCAGAAAGATGCTACTGCCCCCTGTCGCCTCTTGCGACACCCAAGTTGTTTTAACGTATTTGGCCGTGTAAGGAAAAGAGAAGGTCTTCCGCAAGGCAAACCTGGGAAGCGGCTAACGCACCATGTTATGTTAGAACGGAGCAGTTTTATATAGCGTGGTAACTTTGGAACTTTGATAGCGCGATTTGGACTTCGATGCATTTCGCTTTGTGGCGCGACGACAGCGCCGCCACACGTGTCTAGGCAAAACGTTAAACACTAGGATATTCTAATTTATGGTGGAGGCGTTTAACGTATGTAAATTGCACATGGACTACAACCAGAAGCAGAAAGTTTTTTTCTAGTCCATAAACATATTTGTTACGTGAGGTATTCGAACCTTTTGTTTATCAAACAAGACGGCTTCTTTGATAAAAATATAGCCTCATCTCCGACAGTGAATTCTTAGTATATTTTATTGTTTCATTTATTACTTTAATCTTTACCTTCATTGAAACAATATTTCTTTTGAAATTTACTATGACTTAGACCTCTTATTTAAACACGTCACGTGAACTAAGCACTAGCATCTGTAAGTAAGCGCTAACTAATGTAAGGAAGACGTCGACGCGAAATATTTACGCCAAGCTGCACTTAACGCCGCTATCGCCCCAATAAATCGCTTACAGCGCTTGTTTGTTGAAATGGAGTGAGATACGTCGAGACTTCCTACATTTAGCTTCTATTTAGGATGTTTAGTAGGGCTATTAGTTATATGTAGAAATCACATAAAATGGTACATTAGAAATGACAGTTCAGTGATATCTAGTCAGATGTATGTAAGGCATGGGTAACATTAGCTAAGATAATCTTTCTTATATCATCATTCATCATCATTATCATCATCATTACAATACTTCACAAGTCCACTGTCAAACATAGGTCTTCTCCAACGTGCGCTTAAGATGGTTCTAAGACACCTGCATCCATTGACTCCCAGCACATCTTACCAGGTCATCACTCCGTCTCTATATCAATTTATGGGGGCTTCCACAACTTTTATGCCAGAAATATTTTATTTTTTAAATAGTTTTAGCTCATTAAACTCGCTCGACAATGCTTACCTAAAAGATGAATTTATAAATAAAAGTAGTTATAGTATTTAAAAAAAAAACTGAATTAAAATTGAATGATGGCGATTTGAGAGGTGCCGCTCGCCTTCTTTTCTCAAGTGATGCTTTGGCCCCTGACACTCCGGAAACTTTGTATTCCCTGAGAGATAAACGTCCGCTCTCATCAGCTCTCTTAAATTTATCAGATGCTCCTGACCCTTCTGAGCGTACACCGGAAGCCACTGCTGAGAAAGTACAGGCTGCGATCAGTTTGGATCGGCCAGTGGTATCGATGGTCTTTCACCTCTACATTTAAAAGATCTTCTATCAGGTGCTAGGGGAAACACTTGCTGAGACCTACTAAATGTCTTGCTGCAACTTGTAAATTTAATGCTTTCCGTAAAAGATTGCCTAAACATAACGCAGGTACTCTATGAGGCAAACTTGTACGCTCTTCAAAAAAAAAAGGATGGGAGTATTCGGCCCATAGCAGTTGGTAACACATTTTGCCGCATTATTTCAAAGGTTTGCTGTAAATATATTCAGCCAGACATCGCGGCCATATTCCAGCCTGTGCAGCAAGGTTTCGGGATAAAAAGCGGATGCGAAGGGCCTGTACATGCATCGCGCACTTTTTTGAAACACGGCGTCGGTGAGGTGCTGCTGAAGATGGATGTTGAAAATACATTTAATTCAGTAGACCGAGGCGCTGTGCTGACACAGGTAAAAGAAAATATTCCATCCATTTACCATTACCTCTGGCAATCTTTTAGTACACCATTTACACACATGTACAAAGGACACAAAATTTTATCCTCTGTCGGTTGACAGTAAGGTGATCCGCTCGGTTCCGCAATTTTTAGTTTGACAATACATCCATTTATTTCCGATCTCAAATCAAAATTCAATGTCTGGCATTTAGATGATGGAACACTAGAAGGTGAAACGAACTCAGTGCTTGCTGATTTAACCAGTCTTATTTCTTCTTTCAGTTCTTTTGGCCTTAAATATTTTTTTTTAAATGCGAACTTTTTGTTAATGAGAATTTACGCACCTCCGAAAAAGATCAAATTGTTGGCAAATTTAACTTCTTAGCCCCAAATATCAAAATAATTAACAGCAAATCGCTTCGCCTTCTAGGTGCTTCTATTCTGGATTAGTCCTTTCAATGCTTTGTCAGTGAATAGATTTTAAAATTTGAGGAGTCATCCAGTCGCCTGAAAGAAATTAGGCCACAGATGCCATACTAAAATTTTGTCTTTTCGTGCCAAATTTTACGTACGTGCTGCGGTGTTCAACTATTTGGATGAACGTCCCATTTTTAATTAGGAAAAATATGATTGAAATTCTAAATTCTCCATTTAATAAAAATTCCTGGGTTCAGGCCAAACTTCCCGTTATACCTGGTAGTCTAGGCATCGTAGAGTTTCTAGCGTAGCACTTCCGGCTTTCTTGTATTCAGTTCACAACACGTCAGACCTCATTGAAATAATTATCATCACATCACTCGGTAATGTAGAGGTCTAGTGCTTAACTGAGGCCAAGGAAGCAATAACACAGGGCCGGACCAGGTTTTTCCGACTAAATCAGCTTCGCAGAGGCTTTGGGATGAGCTGCTCAGTATCTAAGTTCAGAAAAACGTTTTAGAAAACTGCAGAAACCCTACCAAACGAGCTCGTCTCCTAGGATCTGAGGAGATGGAGTCGGGTTACTTGTTGAATGCATTACTCTCATCAAATATCGGAACACTCTTGGTAGTACTATACTACTTTCTCTCTTGTTATTAGACTGAGATTAAGTTTATAAACAAATGAGCTCCATCACTGCCGCTGTGGTAAAGAAGTCAACATTCTCGGACACCACGGTCTGGCGTGCCAGCGGAGCGCTGGTCAGATCCCTCGCCATGCAGCCATTAATGACGTCATTCAACGAGCTTTAACCAGTGCCAATGCCAGTATGGAATGCGACTTGTGTTGACACATTAGCGCCATCACATCTCGCGGTGACTGCGCAGGAGGCAGGCTTGGCTGCTGCTGTTGCCGAGTCTAACAAGCGGCGCAAATATGCAGCCCTCTGAGAGGGATACATGTTTGTGCCATTTGCCGTAGAAACGCTGGGGCCGTGTGGTGGGCAAGACGTTTTTTTAGAGATATCTCATCACGCCTTGTCAATATCTCTGGTGACCCAAAAGCTGGCAGATATTTTGGTCAGCGGATCAGCCTCGCAATACAGCGAGGCAACTCAGCCAGTGTTTTGGGCATACTACCAACAGACGGCGGCGATTTAGCAAGTATTTTTTACTTAAGTTAGGCTTTACATTGGTGTATAATTTTGCATTTACACACTTTTTTCCTTTCATCTATTTATGTTAATTAGAAGTATTTATGTTTTGATTTCATTTGTTGATAATTTGTGTTTTAGGTAATATTTTCTAGGATGTTTCTATAATTAAATAGGCATTTTCAGTCAATAAAAAAATAAATATCATGATATATCACAACTCTTTAAACTCATTTTTCTCAGATTAGTTATGTGGACAGCATTACTAGATCGGGAGTATCTAGAAGTCAGGAACTCGAAATCTTTTTTAGCGACACAACAAAGTAACCCATTCGTCTCCTATAAAACTTGAATTTTTTAATTCCAAAAATATGCCTTTCCTACCTCACCCTACCTTGTGATTGTGCAAGTACCTGTAAACATAACTAAAATATAAACTTGCATTCGAACCTCGTGCCTTATGCACGAGGTTCGAATGCAAGGAAAACACTCTGGCTGTTTATAACTTATGAGGTTTTTAAGAATAATGGTGACAAATAAGTCCATAGTAGTGTTGAGTATGAGTATGAGTGATGGTAAGTGGTTGTTGTGGCCTATAAACATCTATTTGTCCAATATGATTAATGAGTTGAGGCACCAGTTTTTCACCTAACAATAGTATTTTATCAGATGTAAGCACATATTTTTTGTTGTTTTCTGATTGTATATTGTTGGTGAAAATAAATAAATGAATATATAAAAAAATGACCAAAATACAGTATGCGTTGTCACCCATGAGGACTAAGATAGAACGTCTCGTTTCCTGAAAAAAAGGGTCTCCGGTTCTCTACACTCACTACAAAAAACACAACAGAAAACACTATTTCACGCTGGTATTGTGTGAGAGCGTGGGTCATCCTTGCTCAAGCTCACTCGTGTTATAACCATAATATAGCTGCAGTGTCACTCTACCACGTATGAAATTAAATGGTGTCTAAAGTAGAGTAGTCAGACGAATTTTCCAAGCAATTTAGATGTTGGAAAATAAAGAGTAAAAAACTAATAATATCTTAAGTCAGGAACTAACAGTAAATAATTTGAAATGATACTAGTAATAAAAAATAAATTTTTGGCAATACCCTTGTGCATTTTGATCCCGATTAGAAATAGTCGTTTTTAATACGATCGTATTTGGTTTCATTTGGTATTAGTTATGGGTATACCTAAATTGA